ATCAATTAATATGAGATGTTGCATTTCAAGGCCCCTCATAAAATGATGTTAAAAGCATTAGAGATATACAGGGTCCGCCAAGGGAACCTGACGAGTTTTGGTATTAAACTACACAGTAATGTAACAAGATATTTATTTTCACATACAAGTAATCGATAGTACATTACATGCCATTTTATTTATGGAAAATAATGTCGCTTAAGTGACGTCCTTCACCGTGTACACACTGTTCCAAGCGGTTTTGCAAATTGTTCATTACTCGGTCTAGCATATTCATAGGAATTGCACGAATTTCATTGCGAATGTTTTCTTTTAATTCTTGAATTGTGTGCGGTCTATTTAAATACACCTTGCTCTTCAGGTAACCCCATAGCCAAAAATCACAAACGGTTAGGTCGGGAGACCGTGCCGGCCAAGGAACATCCCCATTCCGCGAAATTACTGCTGCCGGAAATAATTCTTGTAATCGAGCTATTGACACTCTTGCTGTGTGAGCTGTTGCTCCATCCTGTTGAAACCATACAGTATCCATATCAATGTTTCGTCGACGAAGCTCTGGTTCCAAAAAGTTGTTCAACAGTTCCACATATCGTTGCGAATTGACTGTGACTGCATTTCCGAGACCATCTTCAAAAAAATATGGACCAATTATACCGAATCGCGCCACTCCGCACCATACAGTTACCTTGCGGCTATGCAGAGGTCGTTGATGGAGCAGTCTGGGATTTTCGGAACTCCAATAACGAAAATTTTGTTTGTTTACACATCCAGATAACTCAAAATGCGCTTCATCGGACATAATTAAGCCATTCAGGTCATTGTCAGCAAAAAGGTCTAGAAGTCGATTGCAACAATTCACACGATTTACAAAGTCTTGGGCAGTCAGTTCTTGAACAGTTGCTAACTTATATGGGTGGAAATTTAAGTCCTTATGCAAAATACGCCGTACTGTTGTTTCGGAAATTCTTAAAGCACTTGCTTGTCGATTAACTGAACGACGTGGACTTCGTTCGATGGCTATTCTCACCCTCTCAACAGTTGCTGGTGTTCGAACAGTGCGTCGCATCCCTGGTGGTTTAACCTTCATTGCAAACGCACGTCGACGAAAATTTTGAACCCATAATTTAATTGTGTTTCGGCATGGAACACTACCATGACGTCCAATGTTGAAATGCGTGCGAAATAAACGCTGTGTCGCGATCACCGAATCACTATTTTTAAAATACGTTTCGATAACGAATGCGCGATGTTTACTACGCCACGCTTCCATGATTACTGCAATGGCAACTACTAACGATGTTGTTCCCCCACTAACCGCTATTCTACGAAGTACAGTGGCTTCGTACTATACATGTTAAAAACATCAGGTTCCCTTGGCGGACCCTGTAGTTAACTTTAGATCTTCCTAGACGTACTATCTCTAAATATAAGAATTTCCTTAACCCATGCTTAGAGGAAATCATGTTAGGTTCTGACAAATTTAATGTTGGCTTCGGTACATTTATTTCATTTGTGGATACATCGAATTTCAACTTATATTTCAACGACAATTCATTAAATGCTTTTTCTTGTGTGCATTACTGAAGTTATATAAAAATTAGAAAGTATCCATATGCTCCTTTAAAAGAGTAAATCTATAAAATCTACAAAAGCAAAAATTTACTTTAAACGAAACTTTCGGATCCGTAATATGTTCATTTTTATGCTCATAATCAAATTGAGTAGTTTTTTTTTACGTCGCGCGTCGCCGCAATGGTTTATTTCTTTGAAATATTGCCTCGAAACCTAATTTTGTGGCAATGAACTTCGACCTTTGAATAATTTCATCAAACACCTCCTCAGTTCTATAAGTAGTTCAAAATTCAGTTAAGTTATTTAAAGCATCCATTGCAAGTTGAATGTTTATATTTGGCGATTGCAGGATATTACTAACAGAATTAATTTTAATTAAGACATCATGCCAAATTCTAATGGAGCAAAGATTTAATGAAAAACAATGAAAAAATTTATACAATTCTTGTACAATATTAAAAAAACCAATCGTTTCGTGGTTAATGTTTGCAGCGTTGTTAACTGTCAAATTTAAAGTATGGCTTGAACAAGGGTCGTAAAATGCACGAGGATTTATTTCAACAATCCTTTTTTGCGACCCTGCGTTTTTACCGCGCATATTGGACTCAATTTAGTGTTTTTAATAAGCCTAAAAGAAATGTTTTTAAACCAGCTCCTTAACACTTATTTGTTCAGTAAACGAGACATCCGGCGTGCAGTTTAAAATGATTTGACTTTGTTGACACAAATTGATTATAACATTTTTGATATTTGACGCAAATAATGATATTATTTCGTTTTGAATTTTGTTTCCTATATATGGCATATTTTTATTTTCACGGTTTTTTAGTATGCATCTTGTATGTTCTGCTATGCAAGGATCAAATTTTTCTGGTATCTCAATGCATTTTCAAATATTGCCATTGTTACGTTCATATAAGTTACTACTTTTACCGCAAAGTGCTAAATTTGTTTAGATAAAAACTGAATGGATAGATAAATAGTTTTTATCACTTCACCCCAACGTTTTCTTTCTTTTTCTAGAATTGTTTGCTCAAAATTATCGATGAAAGTTTTATTTTTTAATGACATAACTAATTCTTTTCACTTTTTATAATTATTTAAATGTATTAAACTTTTTTCATGAATAAAAACGTAGGAAAAGTAAAAAACTTTTTTGAGAAATAATTATTATTATTTCTCAAAAAAGTTTTTTACTTTTCCTACGTTTTTATTTATTACTAGAGAAATATGGAGAATTTCATCCCATTTTTTCATGAAGACTGAGATACATTGTTAGATGTTGCCAATTATTGATTCCCAAAATAAATGCATTATCAGAAATTTCGAATAGTTTACAACAAAAACAATATACCAAATTTTATAAAAATGAGTAGATAAGCCAATTGCTGTTGTATTCCTTGACATTTTTCAAACGTTTCTTGTATAGCAATATACAGGGTGATTTGTAACATACGGAGGAGACTAAATGGGTAGGTACTTGAGGTCAAACTGAAGAAATTTTCTTAATAATGTTTTGTTAAAATCTTAATAGTTACATAGATATCGCATGTTAATTTTTTAAATAAGAGCGTCAACTTTTGAGAACCGCTGATATTCACTAAAGAACAATTAAAATACTTGTCAACGCCATCCTCATTTTTGAAGGAGCTGTCAAAGTAGACAATTTAATTGTTTAGTTTTAATACGTAATTTTTCTTTAATTTCAAAGTTAACTAGAAATTATGAAAAAAGTACTGTGTGAAGTGGAAGGTGTACTAATCATTAGCTGGTAGTTTAACGCGCTAAATTTTTTGTTTTTGTGGGTTTTTAAAAAGTTCGAATCCATTCTAATGACGAGCGATCCACTCTAATGATTATCTTAAGGTAATTATATAAAATGCTTATTTGATTTAAAAAAATAGTTTATTAATAACAAAGTTTTATTTTAAATTTCATTTTTATAACAACATTTATTTATTAATTACAAAGTTTGTTTATTAGAAGATTTTTTAGCAATTTTTAACTGACAACATACTTATATTAGTATACGTATTCCCATGTACACATTCTGTACCAAATTCACAATGGAAACAACTGAGTTTATTTAGAAAAATTTGCTTCCTTTTTCTGGACCATGTTATTTGATGAGTTTGCATCAGTCCTTTAGCACTCTTTATAGTTTTAGGAAGCTCTTTGTCAACTTTTTCAATATCGTCTACATCAATTACATCAATGTGGATTTTCAACATAGCTTGCTGTAATTTACACACAAAAACTTCAAAATTATTAATGTCACAGTTACAAGAAACTAATCTATCTGCACAACGTTTAATTGTAGCGCCAATTCCGTCTGGTGCTCCCTTTCCGTGCCCTGCTTCGGAAAAATTCCAAGATATGTAATTGATTTCGGGATACATTTTTGGCAATAATCCTTGAATAAAATATAACATTTTCCTATTTCTATACTGAGTGCTGGGACTGTCAGAGAGAAAATGTAAGGTTGTTATTTTTCTTTCATACTTTGTTACATAGTGATTTATAATTGGTGTTAAATGTGCTACTATCGCAGATGAGTCATGACGAAGGGATGATGATATAGTGCAAAAACCTTGTTTTTCTTTGGTGTAGTACACAACTCCTGTATGTAACGTAATTTGCTCGCGTGATGCACCAAAGTGCACAGCTTGTGCTTCTTCGGCATACTTACAACAATAATTTTCAGAAAAGTCAATGTGCAACAAGAGTTCATGTTCTTGTAAATTTCGTTTAAGTTCGTTTATTTCATTAAATTGATGTAGTATATTTAGACTATGATTTATGAATTTTGGAAGCAATATATTTAATTTGGTAATTATTTCATGTGGTTTTGCAAAAGATGTACTTTTGCTTTAATGTACGTTGGACTAAAATCGTTTTTTTAGTTTTCTCGCTAACACGTTCTTCTTTTTTTGTTGTCCACTGTTGATAAGGATATGACATATTCCACTTCTCAGGAGGAACGTTAAATAGTAATTTATTTGTATTGCAATTTTGACAGGTACGATTTAAGCATGTTTCCTTTCTGATGTCACAGCACATTGTACAAAGAACATTTTGTGTAGACGATTCTTTTAGGATATTTACCCTCCATAGTGCTTGTATTAGTAGGTTCATATTTTCATGTAGAACACATAAACATGTATTTCTTTCAGCTAGTTTTTGGGGAACTACCCAAAATGGTCGCAGTTTACAGACAGTGGAATAGGAAATAGAAATGTCATGTTGTTTCTTAAATTGTTTGTGTAGTGTCTTCATAGTTGCATTTAAATAACGTTTTTGTTTTTTTCGTAAGTTTCTTGTGATAGTATCTTTCTTTCCTGGAGCTAATCTTGAATTTTCATCAGCAATAAAAAATTTTCCTACAAGTTTTCTCAATGTATCGTCTGAGTGTAATTGTTTTTTCCACAATGAATAGGGTAAAAAACTTCTTGCAAATTTAAGTAATCTGTATTTTTTCAACATCTTTCCTTTGATAACTTTAGCGAATGCTTGTTTTCTTTTACAATCCGTCAAAGCTTGGAAATTATTTGTTAACTCTTGTTTTATAACCTTCCCAAATAAAAGATGTTTTTTCACTTCTTGTGGAACATTTTTTACACCCTTGAGAAGTTTATTTACGTTAGAATTTGGCGTATCCTTTTCTGTTTTCGATTTATTTTTCAATCTATAATACTTTTTCTTATACATGTCTAACTGCCGTTTCAAGTTACTGTTTTCTTTTCTGACTTTTCCTAATGTTCTGTAGCATTTCGCACGGTTCCTCAACATTACCTTTCTGCCCTGAGTTTTTTGCCTACTTAGAGGATTCCTGTTTTCCTTAGTTATAGTTGTGCCTAATTTCGTAGATACTGAATTATTATTAAATGAGCAGGACGAACCATTTCCATTATTTTCAACATTTATGTTAATTGCTTCTACCTGAGAATTATCTTCATCTAGTTCATCTGATGTGCCTGTATCTAAACTGGTAGGTGGCGTATTTTTTCGTAAGTTTTTCAAAGCTTGTCTTTTTTCTCTGTATCGCTTAGAATTTTCTTTCCATTTCTTTCTCTGAACACGTTTTTCACGATTTGATAAATCTTTTATAGACGTAACTATTCCCTTTTTCTTTGCATTCTTGTATAATTCATGCTTTTTTATCTGTTCGATTTTTTTTCTTTCAGGATTGTTTTTTATTTTTTCACGCCTTCTCTTTTCACACTCACG